TCACTGTGATGGGATTCAACAAAAACCCAGGAAATTCAAGGCCCAACTGATGCTCGACTGGAAATTCACACTATTGTGCCCCTTTCCTGACAACAGATTCAGGAGTCCAGAGTGTCTGGGTGAACCTCAAATTTCCTGAGTTCCAGCTTCTCACAGCTAAATAGCAAAGCATGATTTAAACACCGGCCGGCCTTTGCCTGGTTACCTTCTTTTGTTTCTCCCTATATATTTTATACCTCTGCCGGTCTCTGTTTCCTGCCACCTGAAATGAGCATATTGCATTTGATCCCCGGTAAGGGATGGACGCCCAAGACACTGAATTCCTTGTTTGGTGAGAAGGTTATTTAACAAGAAAGGATAAGGATCAAAGAATCCTAGGAACCCTTCCAGCTGGGCGTCACTGGGGATGCAGATAAAGAGACCCCCAGGAGAGAGTGACAAGAACGTATAGTGAATGAAAACTTGGAGGATCAGGGTTGAGGGGACCCCAACAGGCCAATGCAGCTCCTCGGGGCTGTGCCTAGAAATACACAAATGGCCAGGGAGCTTACACCTTTGTGAAAAGTTTCAGTTACAGATTTGAATTATAGAACCCAACACACTGTCAGGAGCCCCGGCTAAATAGTTCCACACTGTGCATTTGAGGTCATTAGCTTATTCCTGGGTGGTTAATTACAAGGAAGTCGTGGGAAAGGGGGCTCACTGACTCTCCTTCTGTGCAGGTGACGGCTGGCGATTTCAGGGACTACAAGCTTACATTTTAACTGCATTTTAAACATTTGGGATGGGGCGAGGTGGGGGGAGGTTGAAGCAGGTAAGTCGTTAGTTATTAAAATGTGCTTTGAAGCTTTCTCTCGGAGTATTTGTACATATTTAAGGGTCCAGGCCAAAAAAAAAAAAAAAAGAACTTTTTTTTTTCTTTTTGGATGAACCTAATTTGGATTTCATTGAATTTTCTGGATGCCCTGATGATGTTAAGATATTTTGGTGAATTTAATTCCCCCCCGGAACCCCTCTGTATGAAAGAAAAGGAACTCTTTTTAAAAGAGATTTAGCAAGGGAAAGAAAAGTCCTTTTAAAAAGGCTTAGGGGCAAGGGGTAGAGGGAATAAGTGGGAAAAGGAGGCTTTATTTTCTAAAGCTCAAATTCCAAAGAAGAAGGACAGTCTCCATAAGGACCGAAGCTCATTTACCTGAATCACTCTGTCACCGCGTAGCCCTTGACTAGTAAATGATTCTTTTCACTAGCCAATAAAACCAGACGGAAAGCATGTTTGGGGTGGAGGCGTGGTGCCAGACCACCCCCCACCCCCCCCACAAATGCAAAGCCAACTCTCTCAGGCCGTGTTTGTTTTGGTTTCCCCCTAAGAGGGTTCTCCGAGAGGGAGCCCAGCCTGGCCACCCTCTCTGCCCCTACTCCTCTGGGGACTTCTGTGCTCTCCAGAGCTCTTGCCCGCAGAGCTCCAGGGCCCCTTCCATATTTCCTAAGAAGGAAAGAGAAAGTGCCGGCCCCTGCATCCAGGTGGACAAATTCACGGCTGTCTTCCCTTTGTTGCCCCCTCCAAGGCAGCTTCGAGATCCCTGCCCATGCGACAGCCTGGGGACTGTCCCTCACCCCTCAGAAAGCAGCTGAGATCTTCTGAGCCCAGTAGGCGTAACCTTTAAAATAGCAGCCATATTCTATCAGCAAAGATGTCAGGAAAATTGTTTGCAAAAGGGCTGAGGAGTCCTTAAAAGCCAGCAGTTACATAAAAAATAAGAGATTTTTTTTAATGACCATAACCAGCCTCATTCCAATTGTGACATCATCATGGTTTGATAGATATCGAGATTTGCATAAAGGAACCTCATAATTGTTAGTAATAAGTAAACGGAACTAACACGCAGGAGGCATTCAGTATAGAATATTCGACCTTAGCAGGGGTAACAGCCCTGCAAACATTTTCTTTGCATCTTTAAACTGGGAAGGGTTTCTTAGCCTCTTCTGCTGTAAGGAAATCAGGTAGTAGAAGAAAGGAAGATAAAACAAGATTGCTTAATAATTCCTACCCCTGGACTTCCCAGGCCTGAGCCAGGCTTGGAGGCCCTATTTTCAAAGTCTTTCTCCAGACAATGAAGTGTGCCCAATTGAAAAATGGATGAACTAAAGCTTTTCACTCTTCTCCCGTCCAAATTGGATTGGTTTCTCAATTCAACTGAGTGCTTAGAAATTAGTCAATAAGGCGACTAATTAATAATTTGACTTGGGGGGAAGTCAATTTCTCAGCTGCACACACAGACAAGTCCGAGGGCTTCCGGAGGTGCCCCGCTACGTGATTCCAGCCACCCCACTTCACCCCACCATGTGAAAAATCTACAGTATGAGCTATAAGGGGAATTCTGGACCCAGTTCAATTTATTTGAGGCCTTTTCTTCCTAGTACGGTGAATGGATTTGATATTCAGAGAATAAAAGCTGTGTAAAGAATTTAACACCAAATATACTAATATATATGTATATATGTCTATTAACTGTATAAACATTATAACAACATAGTCTTGATTATAATCATGACATAGCGAGTATGTGCTACCATGTGCTAGGTATTATACTAAGTAAGTGCTTTGAATACATGATCTCACCTACTGTATTGTCACACAGTGAAGTAAGAACTACTATCCATATTTTAGAGGTAAGAAACTGAGGCCAGACAGATGGGTCACTAATCAACCAAGACCACACAAAGTTGAGAAAATAGGAAGATTTGAAACTCCAGTCCAAACCCAGCTTTCCAGTTTCTTTCTCCTATAAGGGGAAAGTTAACCAAGGGACATGTTGCCAATTTTTCCTGACTAGAGGAAAACTGGTGTCCAGATGGATTAATTTTACATGTGGACATGGATAAGGCAGGAATTTCTGAGCCTCAGTTTCCCCTGGACAAAATCAGGAAGGTCTTCTAACAATGGCCCCATAAATTAGATTCATCACTTATCACTTCTGGCTGGCTCCACCAGGAAACATGCTCTTAAGAAAACATCAGATAATCTAGTTGTACCCGGAAGACGGCAAAACTTAAAAAGACAGTAGAATTTTTGCTTTTTTAAAAAAAAAAAAAAAAACTGGAATGGGCCTTAAGAGAACTGGAAAGGTTTCATGATCAGGTCATTAAGAACAGAACCAGCCTGGGTTTGCTCTGAGCTCTCCCACTCCCTGGGAAAGTAGGGCTTCCTGTTCCTGAGTCTCAGTTTGCTCATCTGTAACACTGGAGTAACAGCATGAAAATCCATGCACGTGTTTCCACGGGCTTCCTGTGAGGGTCCAATGGGGAGAAGCTTGTTCTGGGACACCAGGGAGGCTGGCGTGTGGCACTTGTTCCATGAGCAGAACTCAGAATAGGATGATGATGGTGGTAGAAATAAAGTTGATGGTAAGGATGATGACAGAGTGAGAGTGATGGTGGAGATGGTGGAGATGGTGATGGGGGTGGGGGGTGGAGATGATGAGGGTGGTGGGGGTGATGGTGATGGTGGTGGTGATAGTGGTGATGGTGATGTTCGGGGATGATAGTGGTGGGGGTGGTGGGGGTGGTGGAGATGGTGATGGTGGTAAGAGTGGAGGTGGTAGAGGTGGTGATGGTGGTGGGGGTGGTGGTAATAATGGTGATGGTGATGATGGTGGTGGTGGTGATGGTGATGGTGGTAGTAGTGGTGATGGTAGTTATGGTGATGGTGGTGGTGATGGTGATGGTGATGGTGGTGATGATGGTGATGGTAGTTATGGTGGTGATGGTGATGGTGGTAGTAGTGGTGATGGTAGTTATGGTGGTGATGATGGTGATGGTAGTTATGGTGATGGTGGTTTTAATACTGAAGGGGATGATGCTGATGGGGTTAACCTATTCCATTTCAGATGAGGACATGGAGCCCAGAGTCACATGCTTATACATAGCCTTGCTGAGACTAGAAATTGATCTTCAAGTGCCAGCCAGTTGCCCTTTCTACTGCCCCATGCTAAAAATAAGTGGAAAGTGATTTGGCCCAAGGAAACTGGGAACTGTGGGTCAGAGCTGAGGACCAGCAGTTCAGCCTCCTGCCCACCCCAGCTCATTTTACAAGGCCAGAGGACTCACTCTGTCCTCATCAGACCTCAGCCACCGCCTTCTCTGCACAACGCCATCACCCAGTGGCTACTGAGAGGTGAGGGAGAGGGTGAGTTGGAAAAAATCTGCTTTTGGATGAGCAAGTCGCTCCCAGCGACTTGATAACAGCTGGTCCCTCACTACCTTTTGAGAAACTCCCCCGGGGGGAGTTGATTTACTTTCTGGTTTCAACCCAAGAGACAAAATAATCTATTGAATTTGTCGATTTCATTTTCCAGATGGGGCTAAGTGGTCCCTCAAGGGGCTTGTGATCAAGCCTGTGAGAAGCCAGAAAGGACAGGGAGAAGAATGGGACAGGGAAATGCCCCAGGCACACACCAGGCAGAAGCAGCAGAATTGCCACCGCAAGCCAGCTCCAGTCTCAGGGAGCACTGAGCTTCCCTCACTATGAGAAAAACTGGTTTTAGAATTCAAAGGAACCACACCATCAGGGGACAGCTGCCCCAAGAGCCCAAGGCTCACAATTTCCCATAGGGGATCTTAGCAGGTGTTGCTAACAGATAGTGACATTCTCCACCAAGCCCAGAGCCGCCCTCCAAAGTCTCTCAGTCAAGAGCTCCCAGCAGGCATGAGCAATCGATCCAAGTAGACACCAGGATGAACATGATTTCTGCCCAGTATGTGGGCGTAAGACCACAAATGACTCCTCAGGTCTTGTGCCTATTGGAAAAGGCATTGAGGAGTAGTTGTGTCATACAAGATCCAGATAGCAGCAGCAGGAAGAGTCAGCTCCCCGACCTGGTTGCATTCCAAGCACTGCAGGTGGTTTTCATCCATCCATTCATTCATTCCCTCCGTCCCTCGCCCACCTGCCCCACCATTCATCCACTCTGTCATTATTTTTTAATTCAACAAATACTTACTGTGCATTCTAGGTGCTAGACTCTGTCCTGGATACAGATCCTGACTACATGGAGCTTGTGGTCTGCAGTGGGTGGGATGGGGGTTCTGCAAAGGCTGGTAAGTTGGTAGAGGCACAGGACAAACCCGTCAGAGGGACAGGAGCACAGAGCTGTGGAAAGTAGACATGCCCGATGGTGCCACCGAGGCCAGGGGTGCAGCAACCCCCTCAAGCATGAGTCTGCGTGTGACCCCTCACCTGCTAAGACCCTGCAGTGACTGTCCCCTGCCCATGCTCTGGCCCCTCTCACCTCCAGCGCTCACCCCACACCCACCTTTTGCACTGAAGGTGCTGGCCCAGACTGAAAGTCCAAGCTCTTGAAGGGGAGACACTCCAGGGAAGCCCCGTAAGAACCGAAACTCAGTCTGGTTTGCATCCTGTGGCCTCCCCAGTGCCCAGGGTCCTTGGAGGAGCACCAGGCATGGAAGATGAACTTGAGGAATTGTGTGTAGGTACAGAGGAGCGATTCTCTGACCCCACCCTTGGCTCAGTGCCCGGCACAGGCCCTGTGCCTTTAACTGTTGAAAGAGAAGAGGGAGAAAAAAGAAAAGAGGTAAAAAGGCGAAGAAAGTAGAAAGGAGAGGGAGGGGAAGCCGGAGGCGGGAAGAGGAGGGCGGGAGAAGGAAACACCCCGCGTATGTCGTGGGGAAAGGTCGCACCATAAACAAGCTTTCCAAAGCTCAACTCCCACACAGAGAGACTCGGTCATCCTAAATTATTTTCAGAACAAAGTATCTAAAAAGAAAAAAATACATGCAGACTCCCCAGCCTGTCCATGCAGGGCCGAGTGGCAAGAAGAGGGTGGCCTGACACTATGCATGATGGGTGGGGCCCGTTTGGATGCTGCGAGCCAAAAAGCATTTTTGTGGGCTCGTAATTTCTGAGAGCTCCTGGCAGGGCGAACTGGCTCCAGGCTCAGACTCCTGCAAAGACCGGCACCGCCACTGCTCTGTCCACGCGGGTCAGGCTTTCTGTTGGGCCTTAGTCTCCCCATCCCTGAAACAAAGGGCGGGCTGAGGTCACCTCTAACGCAAGCCCAACAAGGAGTCTCTCCTAAGTTCTCCTCTTGGAATCCTCCATCAGCCCACATCAGTCCTCCTGATAGTAATAATAATCATTACGATAATAATAGTAATTATTCTTACAGCAGCTACCACTTATCGAAGCACTTATTTCATCTTCACAGCCATCCATCGTGTACGGTAGATTTATAGTCTCCATTTCACAGGGGAGGAAACTGACGTTCAGAGAGGTTATGTACCTTGCCCAAAGGAACACAGCTAATAGGGGTGGGACTGGATTCCAGACACGTCTGAGGCCCAAACTCCTGCTGCCCCAACCTCGATTCACAGCTCTAGCAGGATGAGTGTGTAACATACATACATACACACACACACACACACACACACACACACACACACACTCCCAGTAAGCACTGGAGGAAGAAAAGAGGAGGAATGTTTGTGGTGGTGACGTCATCACTGTGGCCCGCCCAGCTTCCCTCCTACCCTTTTTTTTAACCCCCTGATAAAGGCTCCCCTGACACATATTCAGGGTTTTACAGGACTTTCCTCCCAAGGTCCATGTACTTATACAGGAACTGTCGATCACAGAGGCAGCCTGACCAATCACAGCGTAGAAGCCATCTTCCAGCCACTGTGATTGGCTCAAGTGTGGCACACGTGACTCAGGAAAGCCAATCAGAGCCTTTCTACCGTCTGAAGGGTGGAGGAGGAGGTTCGCTCCCCTCTGGGGTTGCTAGGCTGCGATGATGGACAGGTAGAGCTTCCAGGGACCTTGGCCCTGCTGGTACCCATGGCTCCCCATTGCCCACCCCTGTAGGGGAGAATGTGGCTGCAGACTGGGAAGGCGAGGGGGAGATGGAGAGAGGGAGCCCTCTGCCCACAGCTGGGCTGAAACCCACTCCAAACGGTCCTTCCCAGTATTGAGCCACCAGAGATGCCAGCACTGAGACCCTGTCCCTTTCCATCAGAGTGCTGAGTGACAGTTCCGACCAGCGGTGCATCCGCCATGACTTCATATCTCTCCCTCTCCTCTCCTCCACACGCACACCGACATCTACTGATGGGAAATGGAGACAGCTCTGGAAGAGGGAGGAGGAGGAGCAGAGGAGGAGAAGCACTGGGGAAAGATGCCGAATCCCTCTTCCTTCCCTTGGAGACCCAGCGTGCTGTCCATCCACAGGGCGGGTCAGGCCGCCCTCCCCAGGGCACGGCTGCTCCTCGCCCATGGCCAGTCCTCTTCCTGCTTCAGCTCATTTCCTCCTGGGGCAACCCGCAAGGTGGTTGCTCTCTGTTCTCTTTTCTTTCTTTCTTTCTTTCTTTTTTTTTTTTAGGACACCACAAGGTCTCCCCGTTGACGACAATTGATGTTTCACCTCTGTCGTCTCTGATATGCCAAGGGAGCACCTGAGACCAGAAGGTCTCCCCAGCACCTCCTGATACCTGGGCACATGGCCGTTCAGGCTTCTAGAAAAGTTGTCCCCACACCGTCTTTCTAAACCATAAATGTGATCATGTCGTGTTTCCTCCCTAAGCCCTTCCATGGCTCCCCATTGCCCATGGGATCAAGTCCAGGAACTCAACACGGTGGACAAGGCCATGCTTCTTATTCCTACCCCTTCTAATCCACACTGTGGCTGTTCCCCAGCTCTGTCTCCCCCAGCCGCAGACATGGAAGCCTGCTGCTCCTCTTCCTTGGAGAACTGTTCTCTTGTCCATTCTTCTCACTCCTCCTTCAGGGCAGACGCCACCTTCCCTATAGTGATAAGCGCCTGTCATGTCAGACTCACACTGCTACTTTGTCTGGTAACAGAAAACCCTTCCTCCTTTGGAGGATGTACCTAATGGAGTTCGGGCGGGGCTCTCCAGGGCTCCTTACCCCAGCTGCAGGTACTCACACCTGGACTGTCACCAAGCTGAACATGGCTGAGACCCCACAGGTCTCTAAGCCACAAGAGAAGGCCACATGGCTTTGCTTTCCTCTTCCTCCCTCGGCCCCTGACCCCGGAGCATCATCCAGGAGCTGAAGCATCTACCAGTGTATTTTGAATAAATGGATTTAAAAATTGCCTTTAAATTTGATCAAGCTAAAAAGAGCTAAGGTCTCTCCTACTAAAAAAATTCTCACTGTAGTTCACAGAGGACCCCCCTTTCCATTTAGAGCAAGGAGGGTTCGAATCCTAGCTACCTAATACGTTGGTGTGGATGCGGCGCTTTGAATGGCGTTCTCTTTCTTGTCTTCCTGCAGTCTTGGACACGTGGCTTAAAATTAAGGCTCAGATGAAATGATATACGTAAAACGCATCGGGCGGGGGATGGCACAGTGAGAACCAGTAAAGGGTCATGATGATTAAATGACCTCCTAGATAGTAGACAGGGCACCAGGGGAGAGGAGGCTCACGGGAGTCCCAGGTCATGCTCCCTCCCCAGCCTCCTTTCCTCATTCACAAAATGCAGAGAAGAGCATCTTCTGAGTCGGCCTCCTGCGTTGCACTGAGGATCCAAATCCCATCATGCTCTCAAGGGTCAGGACAAGAGAAGCCAAACTTCTGAACACTTGAAAGTGTTACTGCGATTACTTTGATCCCGACGGCATCTCAATCTTAGACACGACCATGGTGTCCTAAGTAACCCAACACAATCTAAGTGTCCATCATACCATAGTTCACTCTGGTGGGAGTGGGGTAAGGGGTCTCGGCTCCCTGTAGCCATTCAGGGACCCAGGCCACCTTAGTACTGCCACCAACCCGACAGATGAACTCTGCCACGGTCGGAATGTCTCCTCCAAATCTCACATTGATAGGTAGTTGCCATTTTAACAGGACTAACAGGGGGGACCTTGAAGAAGTGGAGAAGTCATAAGGGCTCTGCCCTCATGAACAGGTTAATTCCACTGTCATGGGCTTGTTGTGACTTTGGCTGGCGCTCTCCCTCTGCTCCAGCTCCCCTGTGCTTCCTCCCCTTCCACCGTGCCATCAAGCCACAAAAGCCCTCGCCATGCTCTGGGACTTCCTGGACTCCAGAACTGTAAGGTATATATGCGTCTTCTCCATAAATCACCCGGTCTTTGGTATTTCATTACAGCAGCAGAAAATAGACTCAAGCAACCTCCAAGGTTTCCCCAAAGGTGAAGAGAGAGAGACTAGAACAGAGGTCAGCCAACCAGGTCCCACAGGCCAAATCCAGCCTGCGCCCTTCCAACAGCTGCACTGAACACAGCCAGGCTCACTCTCTGACTTCTTGTCTGTGACACCCTTTGTGGTACAGTGACAGAATTGAGCAGTCCTGACAAAGCTGTCATGGTCCCTAAAGCCAAAGCCAGCTCCTACCATTAAGAATATGCCTGCTGGCCCAGAAACTGCGAGATCACGCTGGGGTATACAGTCCTGTCTGGAAGAGGCTCACATTCCTCCGCAGCATGGCCCCACCTGCAAAGCAGGCTGGGAAATGCAGTCTTCCTAGGCACCCAGAGGAAAGTGAAGCGCAGTTCCACGGTCTGGTGGTACTGTCTCTGCCACAATCAGTTCTTGAATTGTACAGTGTAAGGCACATGGGGGCACATGGGGGCACATGGGGGCCCAGGGCTGAAACCATGGATCAAACAGGTCAACATCACCAAAGATCTCACCCCGACTAAGGGAGGTCTGCAGACCACCAGGCACGGGGATAATAGAAGCAAAGCAGCCCAGACGGTCAGTTCTTTATCACGCAACTGGTACCTGCTAAGATCAAGGTGCATCGTCTCCTTTAATTGGCATGAAAATCCCAAGAGGTCAGATGTTTGACTTCCATTTCCAAATGGAGAACCTGAGACACGCAGGCCGTAATTGGTAAAAATCTGGATTCGAACACAGGTCTGCCCGACTCCGGTGCCTGAACCCTGAAGTGCTCTCAACTGCCCAGCAGCGGCCTTAGTCACAGTGCCCAGTAGGCTCAGCTCTGGGTGCTGGGGAAGGGTCCCCAGGTGTGCCGAGACCCCTACAGGAAACAGCCGGCACTGGCAGAAGAGTTTGCCTGGGGAGAGCTTGACAACAGTGCAAGGAGAGGGGACCCAGGGGTTGGTGGACCACCGAGACCAGCTACAGAGGACACCGAGATGCCCAGAGCTTAAAGGGACAAAGGTTGGGATGGCTTCCTGGAGCCTAGGAAATGCCCTCCCTCCAGAAGTGGGGCCAGTAGGCAGGTGGACTAGGCAAGAGCCATGGGGAAGTAGAGAGAGGAGGGGGCGCACCTGGGCCTCTCCCCCTCACCCACCAGTCTTCTGGTGCCTTCTACTGGCCAAACCCAACCGGAAGCTGTCACTGAGAAAGGCAGAGAAGGGACAGGGGGCACGTTAGGAATCATCAACACAGCCCTGATTCATCTCAAGAATGGGCTCACATCCTCTGCCCCCCGGAAGTTCTCTACGCACAAGTGTCACAACAGTAAACCGATGACAACGTCATCGGTTTCAGGGACCCCTGTACCCTGTGGGTGAGCATCATGGCCCCGGAGGG